GGGGAGGGGGGGGGGGGGGGGGGGGGGGGGGGGGGGGGGGGGGGGGGGGGGGGGAGGGAGAGAGAGAGAGAGAGCGCTAACCAGGCATGACATTAGCCTTTGAAACTTTAAAGTCTGCCCCTAGTGACATACTTGCTCCAGCTAGACCATACCTCCTGGACTGCCCCCCTCTAATAGACTGCCCCCCCTCCAAGCAGTGCTACCAACCGGGGATCAGGTGTTCAAATACATGAGCCTATGGGAGGTATTTTCATTCATACAACCGCAGCACTCTTACCAGTTTAGATAGATTCCCAGCAGAAAAGTAGAATCACCACTTTCAAAGGACAGTCGTCAACAGTTATCAAGATTACAAACATATATCATGCAATCAGTGACTTCCGTTCTGACAGTCTGCCCCACATGACAGAACACTTGCATAGTGTACTCTTGGCAACATCACAAGACTAGAAGCTTTGGATTAACATAGCACTGATCAAATACATAATAGCAGGAAATGAAGTGGACAAGTAGTATAGGGGTAGTCTACTGAAGTCTTTTATAAGGACTTGTTTATTAAGGGACAACACAAAATAATACACTCACAAATACAGAATCAAGTGGCATCGCTGCCTCTTCATCCACTATGGAAAGATGGGGAAAGCTCTAGACCAGGTCACCAAGCTGTGGCATCAGAAAGCTTTCCATGTAGAAGCAGGCATGCAGCGCTCCTCTCCCTTTCTTTTTCTTTCTTTCTTTTTTGTTTTGTTTTTGTTTTTGTTTTTTGAGACAGGGTTTCTCTGTAGCTTTGGAGCCTGTCCTGGAACTAGCTCTTGTAGACCAGGCTGGCCTCCAACTCACAGAGATCCGCCTGCCTCTGCCTCTCTGAGTGCACCTGCCTCTGCCTCTCTGAGTGCTGGAATTAAAGTCGTGCGCCACCACCGCCTGGCTCCTCTCTCCTTTCTTAAGGGGGTCACCATATCCTCAGAGAAAACCACGCCCATTGAGCTGACCCACTCCATTCCATTGGTCATTAGACCAAATGGCCAAACTCCTGTAACAATAGGGGTTAGATTTCGTGATCATGTTTTATATTGTTTTGTTGTTAAAACCACATAAAAGCAGTTCTTATAAGACTACACAGCACTGTGTGAATGTATTTTCTACATTGTCACTAAAATACTTATTGCATAGACATTGAACTCATATAAACATTAAACTCATATTATACAGATACTAAATATAATATATTTTACATTGATCTGCATAGATTGTCCTTAAGAGAAAAACAATGGTGATCTTCATGACTATTATGGATGTAGTGATGACGGTAAAAGTTCTGACTTACAAACCTGAATCCTAGGGAACAACTGTTCTCAGTGTAAAGGGAACACCTGGTCTTACCTCTCAACTGCATGGAGACTATTTGTCATTTACTGTTGTATCTTAAGGCCCTGCCCTGTGTGGCTGTGAGAAGACAGCTATGTGGATGGTGGTCTGTTGTAAGTCCCCCTCCCTTGTCAGTACATGCTAATTTTGATATTTATAGGATTCAGCTTTATGTTTTCACCTACTACACAGCAACGACCCTTTACCCATCCTTTCACTTTTTAACATCCAGGAATCCCCACACTCTATTCTCTAGAAATCTTAAGAGGTTTTGAGTTTGGATAGACATATTCGGACTTAGGATGGTCCTTGATTTGGCCTGACTTCTTATTTGGACAATATCCCTGTTTTCAGCACTCAAATACCTCTTATAATCCTTGTTTTATTAACTTCTTTCACAACCTTTGATTTTTGGGTGTGCCTGTCATGTGCTTTCCTTCCAGGCACTGGAAATTCACTGTAACAATGGTAACAACAACAACAAACCATTTTGGGCATGGCTCCTTCTGATTGGATAAAGAAAGGAAGTGCAGAGAGCTTTGTGGCTTGTCTGGTGCCCATGGGCTGGCAGTGGAGTTAGGACTTGGATTTAGAGAGTTGTAACTATCCTCAAATTCTCTCGTCTATCAAATGGATGCTTTTCTCAGAACTATAAGGAAGAACTCTTGGTTCCTTAGATAGTTTGCCATCAGATGGACATCTAGTGACTTGTGGAATTGAGACCTAAAGCCAACTTTGTCTGATTTTCAGGCCATGTATTATTTTCCCCCTTTGGTGGCTTGCTAGGAACTCACCTCCATAGGAAGGAGACATTCTTTCCTAGAAATTTTAATGGTGTTTTGTTTATACATTTTAGTAATTGAAAATAACTTGTCAGCTAGAGATGGTCTTCCCACACTTACAACACCAAGAAAGATACAATAAATAAAAATTAATTAATAGAAAAGATTTTGCTTCAAATTTTCTCAAATATTTCATGTCCCATCACTTTCTATGGGGTGGGGGCAGTTATCTTTACTGAAAGTGGAAATACCTTGGAACCTATGCTGAGTGAATTTTTCTTTTGTACCTACCTGAGGCCTGTCTGGACACACAACTAGACAGTGTATCTTCAGCTCAAGTTTTTGAGTATCGATCCAGTAATTCATTATTGCACAATTACTAAATTCCAGCAAGTTCTCTGATGTCCTCATACCAAGAATGTTCTGGTGATAACAGGTTTATTTCTTGTTTTGTGAGTGTTGGATATAATGAATATGTATCTCCCTAATGTAAAACTAATCCAAAGAGAAGATACAGAGTAAAGTCTAGTTAGCTCGCCCCACCAAAAAAAAAAAAATGCTTCTTTTCTCACAGGACAGAGGCCTGCGAGGTGCCAGATAATACCTTGGGTTAGGATGTATCCATTGCCATTGACACACCCAGTAGGGATGATCACTTTGCCATGTGCCAGGCTCTGGACTGAGCCTTCACCAAGCACCAGCATGTCTAAGACAACATAGAAGTGTTCATATGCAGTGTAAATGAGGCTTTCAAATGTAAGGTGATCCATTTGATTCTATGTACACAGTGAATGCTCAAGCAAGGATTTGAGTCTCAATTCTTTTTTTTTAATTAATTAATTTATTTATTTATTAAAGATTTCTGTCTCTTCCCCACCGCCGCCTCCCCTTTCCCTCCCCCTCCCCCAATCAAGTCCCCCTCCCTCGTCAGCCCAAAAAGCAATCAGGGTTCTCTGCCCTGTGGGAAGTCCAAGGACCACCCACCTCCATCCAGGTCTAGTAAGGTGAGCATCCACGAAACTGCCTAGGCTCCCACGAAACCAATAGGTCCAGTAGAATCAAAAAGAAAGATATTCCTTGAGTCTCAATTCTTAGCTACTTTACTTGACTGCCATGCTATTGGCGAGTGTGGATGCAGATGAGTGATGTATTGTATAGGGTAGAAACTGCAATTATTACAGGTTCATCTCAAGACCTTTTGGCTTCTACATTCCAGCTACTCCGGAGCAAAGAAGTTTGCACCTGCTATTATTTTCTGCCTATAACCTCCTTTGTATTACTTTTCCCATAAATGAGTGGGTACAGACACATCCTTATCACAGGCAGGATCTTTTCTTTTTTATTCTACATCAAGGTCTCAAGTGTATGGCCGTCGGTCCAGATAACCATTCAGTCAGCACTTACCCTATTCGGTGTGGGATGTGCTATCTCCTTCTTGCTGCTGATCTGGCACCATGACTCCTCCCTCAGAGAAGCTCCTCTCTTTGTAATGGAGAAGTTCTCAGTGTGGCTATTGAGGCAGCTTTTTCCCTTTGCTTACTGGAGAACAAGCCCCTTATAAGGGTAAGATGCTCACTTGTTTTCTCTGTGTTGTGTATCTACCATTGACTATGAACAACTGGAAAATTTCAGAAACTTCTTGTTTGATGAATAACTCAACAAAAAATTTAAAATCCAAAGTAATCCTTCTGCAAAGTATAAATTAGAAGTCATAAATTGTGGTAAAAAGGAAACGAACTAACCTGAGCCTTCAAGAAAAACATTGTTCCTGGGCAAATAAATTACTTTTCCTTTCAGGGCAAGTCACCAGAGAAATAACATTGTGCCCACTCACCTGGGATCTTTCTTCTGTGTCCGGGAACACAGCATGCGGCGAGGACACATGTACCTAGTTCAAGTCTGTCTTCAGATGTGCATTAGCACATCTACTAGAACATTGATTCATTATTACAAAATGGCTAAGTTCCAGGAAGTTCTCTGACCGCTGCATCCCAAGCAAGCTAAAGAGATAAGAGGTGTAATTCTGGCTTCATGCATTTGGGACGTTTCAAGTTTCAGCTTGCAAGGGTGTGAACCTAAGCCTATGGTCTCAGAGCCTCTAAGCAACTGAACTGGCAATGGGTGAATCTTTCAACCATGCCTAACTAACTAATATGCTCCATGGATAATGGAGTTATTATTCTTTTTCCTTCCTAGGATTACCTAGAATTCAGAACTCACACTGCCTGTGTGGTCTGCCTGGCCTTTTCTATGTTCCAGGACTGTTCATTTTAACTATCCCCAGGGCAATCGTGATCTTTCCTCCCTTTTCAGCAGGGGAGAAATGGGCAGACAGGCCCAGCCACTGGGAAGCTACCCTGAGATCACAGACGAGCGGAACTCTAAGTTTTGGAATTTATTGCCTCCATTATCTCACTTAAAAGTGGGCGTCATCACCAAAGCTAACCAATTTTTTGGCCCCTACTCCAGAGACCTCGGTGGGGTATTTTAGGGTTGCTTTTCTCTTTAAGGTTGGGGGGAAAATTGTAGAAGGGTATCATGTCCCAGAGTTTCTGAAATTGTGGAAGATTTTACATTTCACCACAAGGTCTTAAGTAGGCAGAGAGGCAACCGCAGTGAGAGGCCTAGCCCCTCGTGTGCCTCTCGAGTCCCTCCCCTCCTACATCCACTCCTCCACTGTCCCTAGACCCAGAAAGCCCATTATCTGATTGTCCTCTGTCTTCTCTTCCTGTCTGGAGGGTCAAGAAGTGTCCTCATTAGCTTTTAAATCTGCTTCTCATACTTGTCACCTTAATTTAAGACCCTCTTTGGTAAGCTATTTTTTACCTGAAAAGGTTAGTGTGTGATATTATCTAGTCTGGGGAGTATTATGAGTTCAATAATCTAGACAAATAATAATTTATCCTTTTATATCTAAACAGGTAAGTTGAAAGTAGGGGGATAGAACAAAAATAGATTTTTTAAAATATTTTGTTATTTCTCTATGCTCTTCATAACCCTTTTCCAGTCTCATTCTTGGAAGGATCCCTGGTGTTTGGGTTTAAATTGGGAATATTGTAACGTTAATAGCATTTGAAAGTCGCATCCTAAGAGGGGCATATTGCTAAAGTAACAATCCCTAGTATGTAAACTTTGATTACCTCCCCATTCTTGCACGGGATTTCTAAGGCAGGGTGGGGAGGAGGGAAAAATGTGAAGGTTTTGCTAGCTGTGGCTTCCATTATCATGTTCTATTTGATAATCCGCGGGACTGATAATACTCTCCTGACTGGACTTTTCTGAAATAGTACCACTATCAGGTAGATCAGATAGTTAACCAAAGCTTTGGCACCAAAGAGACTCAACAAATACATTTCATCACACTGACCCTGTGCTAACAGCAGCTCTATGTGGATAACCTCATGGGAATGGAAGTTGAGAAAGAGCTATTTCAAGGCTGCCAATTCCTTAATCTCTGCTCTGTTCAAAATGCAAACGTGCTGCTTTTTATGATTCACAGTAGTAAAACAAATCTGTGGGATTTTTCAATCCTCAACACGGGAAGGTAGAGAGAAAAGTGAACAAGGAGAGTCTCCTGTGGGGTGTCTATAGACCCAGTAGAAGGAAGAACATGGGACATATAGTCACCTTTAAAAAAAAACAAACAGAAAACAAGAAATCAAAGAGGTGAAAATATAGGAAATTATCTGACTAAAAGAGGGTTAAAAACAAAGGCAGCTTATTTTATTTGCAATCCCAACACTCAGTTCTTTGTTAAGACAAACTAGAGAAGTGCCCTGCAGACTCAAAGGCTCCTGAGTTATCAGGGAGCTGCTTCCTGGGAATGTGTTCACCCACTGAATGCAGCTGCCTGAATAAAGGCAGAAAGAATAGTGCAAAAAAAAATTGTAAAAACAGCCCGGCACTCCAGGCTTTGTTACAACAAGGATGACGTTGATGTAATGGAAGTCTCTGGAGATGGTGGGCAGGCTCGGCCTAGTGTTGGGGGGCTTCTGGGAGGGACCCCAAATTTTCTAAAGCCAAGGGATTGCCTGATACCCACCAGCCGGCGTGGTGTGCAGTTCTAATCGGCTGGGCTCCTGCTGGAACAAGGGTGGCAGCCTCCTGGGAGGCTCTCGCCCCCATTCAGACTGTGGAGCCCAGGCCCCATGGACAGATAGGGGTTGGACCACAGCCACAAGGACAGTAGGACCGAGACTTTCTTATCACTTTCCATGCCTCCCGAGTAGCAATGGGAAGGGTTCCATGGCCCTGGTCTCCTAGTATCTGCTGGATGTCTGTCTGTGACCCTGAGATCCTCCTGTCCCTTCTACCCTGTCCTTCTAACCATTGAATGAACCTAGAGAGACTAAAACTCTTAAGTGGTTTTCAGGACACTGGGAAAGAGGCCCTTAGTCCCCTTTCTCTGTTAGTCATTACAGAATGATGGTTCTCCACAGACGATTTAAACAGTGTGGTAGCTTTACTATGACTATATAGAGTGATTCCAAACCTATTGAACTATTTTTAATTGCGATTTATTTGTGTTCCTTAATTGAAACAAAATGGTACAGCATTTTACAATAATGGTACCGAGTTCTTCAGCCCATAATAATGTGCAATGCTACTTTTTTTCTTTGTCTTTTATGGGGTCTGGCTATTTAAGTCCCTCCTAACTACTTGTATGTCTGGGTGTGACATTCCAGATTGGATACAACAGAGAGCCCTGCAATGCTCATTTCTAAATCCAACCCTCACAGCCTTGTTATCTTTGTCAGAACAACCTAGTAACTGCTTCCTCGATGTTTTAATTTAGATTTCTGAGATACAAGAGGAATGTAGATGTTATCCCCCACCCCCACCCCACCTTAAATGTGTGGCAGCCTTGCTGTTTCTAGGACAAGGCTAAAAAGAAACAGATCAAGCCTCAGTGAAGCCCTGAAATGTTATTCTAAGGCTCCCTCAGATTTCCGTCCTTCTGTACAGCATTGAGCCTCATTTAGAGCTATAACACACAAGAAAACAGTTGTGGCGTAGCCAGAAGCCTGAAGAGGCACAGGAGATGGGTGACGAGGAACAGGAGGCAGCTAATTCTTTCAGCTCTGCAGTTTGGGGAAGTTGTACGTGCAAATGGGAAAATGAGAACTCCGGTTTCTTTTTACTGTAAATCTTGAACACAAACACTGCTAAGACCTTGGAGCATTACAGTGTATCTTTTTGTATACCTTTTGGGAAGGCCATGGACTATGTTAAGGAATCATAAGGGTGGGATTCAAAGTGTAGGTCATTTGAGGACTGGGCATTTTCTAGATGAGGTATTAAGTTGTTCATACAGACCAGGAATTCTCTTGGAAAAATACATATTGTAACAATTTCACTAGACATTCAGAGTCTAAAACATCCTTGTATACTTTCATTTTGTCCTTGAGAAAGTCAGGTGTCCATGGTTAGTGGACAGTACACCAGAGATCTGATCCAACTCCAAAAGACAAAGAGCTACTGTGGTAGCTGTCTCTTTGCCAGCTCACTCTGTTTCTTAGGTCACTGCTTTGGTGAGGTCCCTAGCAGCTGACAAACAGAGCCTAAAATTTAAGACAGTCTTGGAAGATGAAGGTCTCCTTCCTTGCACTTTTAGTGTAAGAGCCCGGCAGCTTGCCTGGGGAAAGGAGCAGAACAAAACAGAGGCCTAGGCATTTATCTGAGGAATTCCCCTGCCTCCTCAGCAGCACCCTTGTTTTGGTGTGCTGTGCTCACTAGAATCTTCCTTAGAGTTTGGGACTGAAGTATTTGGATATGATAAAACAATATGAAGAGGAAGAAGAAGAAGAAGAAGAAGAAGAAGAAGAAGAAGAAGAAGAAGAAGAAGAAGAAGAAGAAGAAGAAGAAGAAGAAGAAGAAGAAGTAGAAGAAGAAGAAGACGACAAAGATAAACAGAAGGGCAATCCAAACAAGGAAACCAGCAAAGGGAGATGGGATAACAAAAGAAAAATGCAGTGTGGGCTCACTAATACAGCTTCCAAGTGTGGAGCACTCTGGGTTAATTTCAAAAAGTAATTGCAAGCTTTAACTATTGTGATCTTTGGAGGAAAATCCAATAAAGCTGTCAAAGGAATTTGGTATTGAGTGCTTTGTGGTTGGGGAGCTATCGGTTTGTTTGCTTTGGGGTTAGTTTATGTCCTTAGTCATTTAGGTGCCCCTTTTGTTGCCATGGTTAAACATTTTCTGCATAAAATATAGCCATTTTCCCATTATTTAAACAAAGGAACAGTTCTAGCTTTCTGCAAATTTCAACAGAGAAAGAGTGTGGGGATCTCAATGTCCACTATCCTTCAGAAGTCGATCCTGAGTCTGGAACCTGATGCTTTCTGGGCCCCAGGTGTCTCAGATTGGGACAGAGCTTCCTGCTTTCCAGTCTGCTTCTGTTTTTAAAAATAGGTTTTCTCCTAAGGGCTTTTTCAGCACATAGATAGTCTATGATTGCTCCTTGACCCTGGTGCACCAGGGGGAAGGTACTACCTCAGCATGGTGGAGGAGATGCACCGGAGGAAACCAAGAAGCCCGGGACAGAAGCGATCTTAAAATCAAAAAGTTGGGTTGTAGCTTCTGTGTTTTCCATGTCTCCTCTGTCTTTCTGTGTGTCTATGTGTGATTATGAGGTTCAAACACCAGGGCCACATTTCTGTGATGCTGTAAATTCTTTGCCACTGATTTTTGTCCCTAGTTCCAAATTAAATCTTTTTGAGGGGAGAAAAGCCTATGCTTCTAGAGGTAAGATAAAATTATTTTGGAAGAGTTTTTATTCTTTTATTTTTCTGCTAGTAAAGAAAGAGATTCCCCAGGTATTTCTACTTAGAAAGTGATGGAGCTGCACATTCCTATTCAAAACCAGTTTTATAAAGATTGGTCTCAAGAATTTTCAAAACTAATGGAAT